TAATCAATCTCACTTATCTAAACTTTAACTTTTCATAACCTTCGATTGTCAACTGATGATTAGTATATTTTGTGCTTCTCTGTAATAATTGGGTCATTCGACCTGTTGAGTAGCCTGTAACCTATAAAAATAAAAATAAAATAAAATAAAATATGCCTCTACTTTCAATCATCCGTTCAATCAATTTCATTATGTGATTTTGCAATCAATTCCTATTTCTTTAATATAATTTTGTTTTTCATATCCCGTCATGATAATATTGGTTTTCATTTCAATAGCATGTTTTGTGAATCATTGGAACATCAGATTCTCTCAAACGGATCTTATAAATCTTCTGTTTGGAATTGGGCCTGAAATATATTTCCATTCCAATCTGCTGTTAAAGAAAGTGAATTTTTTTATGTATTGTTATGATATTCCCCTTAGAGGGGCTCTAGAAACATCAGCAGGAAGGCAGGAGTACAACGATCATCCTGTAACACGCATCCCAGATTGTTCTCCAACCTCCCAATGATTCCTACATGCACCAGCATATTTCCGAACACTGAATATATGCCGCGGTGACAAATAACGTGACAAAAGATTTTCGAATGTTCTGGAAACAATCGATGAAATAATTAGAGAGAGAGGTATTGTTCTGAGAAGCTTCTATACCTTTTCAACTTCAATTTCGAAATTGGTGAGTTATATTTCGGAAAAAGTAATCTCGATTTCAGAATTGGTTAGTTCGATTTCAGAAATGGTAAACTCAATACCAGAATCGGTGAGATGAATTTGAGAAAAAGTCCATTCAATTCCAGAAATGGTGTACGAGATTTGAGCTAATGGACTGTATAAAGTATGAGATTGATAATTATAACAATTTTCGATACAAGAGAGAGAATCCACTTACCAATAATTTCTTGTTTCTGAGGTATATACACACACTTGTCGCGAGCCGATATATCAATGCTGATATCGACTGATTTTTCGGGAGCATTTTCGCGTTCTCCCGGCTCGGTACCATTACCAGTGGCGTTACAATCTCTTGTATATAAAGGTACGCGAGCAAAATATGTTATATGTAGAACGGATGAGTTTGATGAATGAGTGTATATAGGTGCGGACGTAACAAATGGTAAGTTGTATTTCAGAATTATTATTAGTAGGTTCAATTTCAGAAGATGAAATCCTTTTATATGTTTGAAATGTTTTCAATTGCAAAAGAGAAAATTGTCTACAGTGGATGAAACGGTGTTTGAGAGCTCTATGTTGAATCAGATTGAACATATATGGAGTGCCTTCAAGTCAGAAGTGAAGAGCTTTTTGCAAGAGCATCGCCAAAGTGTCATAGCTGGGGATCCGAACAGATTGCTCAACCAGATAGAATTCAGACTGCGACGCCACTATCTTCCAGCGATTCAGATGGGAGGCATCTGTGAATTGAATTGTTTTTGAAAAGTTGAATATTTTAAATATGGTTTGTTAATCTCACATGCAATTGGAAACATTTCGAACAAATATAAGGATTTTTTGATATCGAACCTACCAATTCTGAAATACAACTTATTATTTCTGAAATTTAATGGACTTTTTCTGGAATTCATCTCACCGATTCTGAAATTGAGTTTACCATTTCTGAAATCGAACTAACCAATTCTGAAATCGAGATTACTTTTTCCGAAATATAACTTACTGATTCCGAAATTGAAGTTGAAAAGGTATAGAACAAAAAGAAGGAGACGGAATATCATTCGAGAACGTTCTCGAACCAAAGCCTACCAATGGAACTCATATATAAGACGGCCGAACAACTGCGTCTGTCAGTTAAGCAGCGAGTGTCAGAGAGATAATTATATACCGCGTGATTCAAATCGTTTCACATAAATGGTATTTATAAGTTCGATATAAATTAGTGTTTCTTTAGTTCAAATAAATGAGTCCGAAAAAAAATAGTGTCGTGTTCGCTTCTGCACCCGAATACAGTATGTATACCTATCTTACAAAATTTGCTTACCTTCAAATTGATTTTACATCCAGGCCGTTTCATACATTCCTTCCATAAGGAAATGGTTGATTGAAAAGGAATATTCTACTACCTTATGAGATTCAATACAACCAATGGAAACAATTTTCACCTTCGCAGAAGACCCGGTTCCTGATTATCAATTATTGAATACTCATATACCTTGTGAGATGTTCTAGTGCCAATAAAAACATCCATATATTTCAAATGATTATCAAGCTTCCATTTGAATCAAACTATTTTCCCACTCTGGCAACAGCGTGATGCTCAGAGGTCACAGTAACATTAATAAGTGAAAAAGAATTTTAATCTACTCTTCTGACGTCATCATCGTCTGTTACCTTTATATCTTCAAAACCATTATTGAATCTGGCAAATACAGCGAATACTCAAAGATAATCCTCATTTTATCTGATTCTTCAGTGGCGTGTTGGATTCTCTGTTTTCTGCAGGAAGAATCCAGTCCAGTAATTTTGCTTTATTCTCTCCCCAAGAATATCTCATCAAGGATGAAAAAAAAATTAAAAAAACTAATGCAATGATTTGGCGATAAACACAGCAAAATTGGACATCTCTGTATTTTTGTGGGAAACTTACCAATAACAGTATTGAGAAATAACTACATATAATGATGTTCCGAGAATTGAAGACATGTTTCATTCAAATAATTCGTCACAACCGGCATGAAAATATATGTCACTAAAACAACATGCTTCCGCATGGATTATTTGTTGCGCCCTGTCTCTAGGTGAGTCAATTCAGGTATTCGTGCATTTTGGTTGCGCAGAAGACTAAAACGTCAATGTCATTCGTCGTGAAGTCACTGAATAGCACAAAATCGTAAGGGTATCTCCCATGCAGTAATAAATTTGCATCTTCGAAGTGCCCACCTGATGTTGGGTCAGATATTTATCATTTTCATTTCATCATCTGATTTCAATTCCCAGTATTCCAATCATTTTCATCTGAGGTAGTGACGTAAAGAGTTTAATATCTGATGGTTGGATATCTTGTGTCCAACAATCATGTCTGCAAAATATGTTTTCAACCCGCCGTCAGAAAATGTTCTTCTGAAAAGAATCCTATGTCCACTCTCATATATCTAACAATATGCGTATACGAAGTGTCAAAATAATCGATTAAATAGTTTTGGCGTGGAAGCATAACAACCAAATATACTTTCAGATTATTCATAATGTTAGTAGGGATGGTTCTTGTGACATTATACAAATTAAACATATTTCGTAATATACAGGGTTACTGGTAATTCGATTCATTTCTTTGGTGATATTATAGGAAAGGTGGTAGGTTGACCCTAATATGCATTATGCAGAAGATAATATAGTTTTTGAGATATTTAATTTTTTTTGTTTATCTCCAAAAGGAAGGATTCAAGGGTTTGAAAATCACTTTTTCGAAAACCTACTGTACATTTTTCCAACCTTTCAACTAGAATACATGATCAACACTATGGTCTTATGTTTGTAATGAGAAAAATCCAGGAATAATTCCGATGATAGATGACTTGTAAGAACAAAGTCATATTTTTGTTTGTAAATTGTGGATTTCAACACTTTGTAGCGGTTATTTTTAGAAAAATCTGTCAAGAATTTGTTGAAATTTCTTTAATATAATAGCTATCAAACTGGGTTCAAATGATAAAAAAAGTGCTTGATACGGGTTTGTTATTTCAAATGAATAGAAAAAAAAGTACTTGAAAAACTTCTAATATCAGTATTCACTTTTTACAAATCCTGAACAAAATGATACCCTCTATTACGAATACCCAGCCAGCAGAATGATGTCAATTCTCGTCGAATCGACGTGAATAATAGATGACAATTGGTCGTCGTCAAGATTCGACCAATAATTGACGTCATTTTGACGTGTTCAAAAAATGTATCTGATAGACGTCATTTGACGTCATTTAGACGTAACATCTGCACCAATCATTTTGTTTTATTCCGAAAACATTACTCCATGCACTGCATATCCAGGACTCATGATTGAACGCTTATCAGAATAAAATAGGTACCTACACTACACTGTTTTACCACTAACCAAACCGATTTTTTACGCCTCGACACGTGTTTCGCTAATTTGGTCGATTCGACGTAATTGGTGACGCATATATGACGTGAAATTGACGTGTGTGTGCTAGCTGGGTACATGCTCGGCAGCGTCTTCTTATTTTCTTCATTGTTATTCTAGTTGTCAAATTAGTTCGTATGTTCAGTACAGCGTTGGTTATCATTTGTATGAGTTCTTCCTGGGTATTTACTGGGATTCATCAACTAGCGCCTCAATATGACTCGACACATAATGATCAAGGAAGGTTGGGTCAGGGCTTCGCGCTGGCCAACCTATCCGACCTTACCTTCTAATCCAACGGTTCAAGGATCAGCCGATAATGCGCTGAACAACCGTCTTGTTGGAATATCAGAATTTTCTACGGCCCAATGATGGAGGTTACGAACATTGGTCGTGCTATTTGGATGCCTCGAGCAAATAAACGAAGATAAAAACTGCCGAAAATGAATTTTGATAGACATTTTTCAAGTGTGTTTTATACTTTTTCTTCTGAATAACAAATCCGTATCAAGCACTACTCAGTTAGATAGCTATTGCCTTGAGGAAGTTTTGAGAAATTCTTGACAAATATGGCTTAGAGATTTTTCTAAAAATAACCGCTAGAATGTGGATGACCTCTACAATCCACAAACAAAAATACGACTTGGTATCTACAATTTATCTATGATCTAAATTATTTCAGTAATTTTGTCATTTCAAACATATAAGGCCATAGTATTGATCATGTATTCTAGTTGGAAGATTGAAAACATGTAGAGCAGATTTTCGGGAAACTAACCTTCAAATCCTTGAAGTCTACCTTTTGGAGAAAAACAAAAAAAAATTCATATCCTATATAATGACTAACAAATATACATGATGTTGAATATGAAATAATCGACAATAATAATATTGTTTCTTGCAGTTCGCAGTGGAAGAGTCTAACTTCGTTAGATCTAAGCTATAATCAACTAGACGATGTTCCATTTTCGGCCCTCAAAGACTTGAAGAATCTCCAGTGGATCAATTTGCATGGGTACGTACCAAACAAATTAATAACATATGATTTGATAATAATATATAACCATCATGATCAGTGTGAAACAAAAATGTATTACGGTAGCGACTTTGGAAATCAAAGCGAAGAAGGAAAGCTCAAATTCATATCCACACTTTTAATGATGTAACAATATTAGTTAACGGTAAATGTTTCGGGATCACGAAAATCCATCTTCAGCTCGGGTATGGAGTCGAAGGAGTGGAAATAGTTTCATTGGAATTGTTGGTGCCAATGCCAATCGTCATAATCTAATGAATTAGAAAGTGATAAAATCGATATAATTGGGGTTTAAAATGGAGAGACCCGTGCACTGAGAGCGCATCTAAGAAATGCAAATTTCGAGGTCCTGAAGAAAAACTTGAAGGACCATTACTGAACAATGTCTACTGAAGATCATCGTGAATTCAGACAAAAACGGAAAGATTATGAAAATGTGGGTCTCGTACTCCTAAGAAAGCGTCACCTGATTTTAAATATATAATAATAATAATAATAATAATAATAATCTTCATTTTCCTTCAAGACACAGTTACAAAATTTGTATAGGAATCGTCAAAAAAACAAGAAAAGAGAAGGAGATCGGAGATTAAAATAAAAATCCTGAAAAAAAAAGACGAAAAGTACCTACTTATACACAAAAATTCATCAAAACTATAACACTTATTATCAACAAGATGATTCTTCAGGGTTCGTTTAAACATTGAAACAGTTTTGGATTCTTTGATAAAATCAGGTAGCAAATTATAAATACGTGGAGCCATCTGGTCAGGAGATTCGAAAGTTAATTTGGTTTTTCCAAATGGCACAAAAACATTGTTTTTTTGTCTTGTATCAATATTATGTTTACATTCATTCAGTACAAACAATTTATTTCTATTTTCCAACACAAATAAGCACAAGTCAAAAATTAAAAGACTAGGGACAGTTAAAATTTTAAAATTTCTGAAAGTTGGTCTGCATAAATCAAAGAAACCTATGCCACTAATAATTCGTATGAGTTTTTTTTGTGCTATGAAGACATCAGAGCAGCTAGAGGAAAAACCCCAGTAGCACACTCCATATCTCAGTCTTGAATCCACCTGAGCATAGTACAGCTTCAGCAGCTGATCATCATTTAAAACCTGCCTTATATTCCTGAACTGATATGAAGTAGAGTTGATTTTTTCGATCAGAAAATCACAGTGATTCTGCCAATTTGAATATTCATCAATGTGAAGACCTAAAAATTTTAAGCTTTCACACTCTGTTGTTACAGTGTCAGAATTATCATTAGCTCTAAAGCTTATTAATATGATATCACACCTCCGTTGCCGATGATGGAACCTCATTGAATCTGTTTTTTTCGCGTTCAAAAACAAATTGTGTGCAGAAAACCATTTGTTGATATTTTCAAAAACTTTGTCACATTTTTCTTTCAAAAGTGAATCTGATCTGTCAAAAATTATGATTGACGTGTCGTCTGCATACATTGTTATAAATGGTCCAGGAATTGAATATCCCAAATCAGTTATATATAAAACAAACAATATGGGTCCCAATATCGACCCTTGAGGCACTCCTAATTCAGAGACGACCATGCTGGAAGTTGCTTTTTTAAAAGCGACGTATTGTTTTCTATAAGAAAGATAGTCTGTTATCCATGCTAATGGTATACCCCGTATGCCATAACGGAATAATAGTTTGTCTAAGAGAATCTTATGATCGACACAGTCGAATGCCCTGCTGAGATCACAAAATATCCCAACAGGGCACTCGCCTGCTTCAATATAGTTCACAATCTCTCTGTTATATGAATGTATAGCGGTAGTAGTGGATTTCGTATTCAGAAATCCATGTTGATTATTTGTAAAGATATTATGATAATCATAAAATGAAAGAAGTCTATTCAGAAATGCGTATTCGAATATTTTCGACATACTTGATGGGATTGTTACTGGCCTATAATTCTCCATTAAGTTTGGACTCTTACTTTTATGCACTGGTATGATTTTACCTATTTTCATCTGATTTGGGAATGAACCTTCATTGAATGACAGATTCACCAAACGAAGTAGAGGTTTAATTAAAACATGAAGACTCTTCTTCAAGAGAAACGTGAGGAGTTCGTCATAACCTGAGGATCTTTTATCTTTAAGTTTGCTATTCAGTAATTCGTACAATTCAGGCTCAGTGTAAGGCTGTGAAAAAAAACGAATTACTCGGAGATGGAATGTTTCTCGCAAAAGATTGATGATCCAAATTAGTCTTATCTATTTGATCAGATAATACTTTAGTTACTTCTATGAAATAATCATTGAACATGTTAGCAACTTCTATCGGCGAATCTACTACAGCGTCCCTGACCTCTATTGAAATATTCTTAGTGTTGCATTTTGGTTTATTAGATAATTCTGAAACAACTCTCCAAGCTGTTTTTGAAGGATTATCAGATTCATCAATTCGTTTTTGGAAATATTCTTTCTTTGTTGATTTTATTAACTTGAAGTGTTTCTGTTTTTTAATTTTATAAGAAATCTCAAGGTCCTTTCGAACTTTTTTGAGGTTGTGTAGTTCATTCAACTTAATACTTGAAATATTAACGTCACTGTTGACCCAATTATTATTTTTATCAGTCTCATTGAATCTGCGCTTTGGAAAATGGATTTCGAAGTAATAAGAAAATATCTCCCAAAAATGATGATAGGCTGAATTCATATCAGATATATTAAACACATTTTCCCAATCTTCCTCCTGAAGGGCCTCCACAGAAGACGAAATTGCATTTAGTAGACATTGAATTGATGAAGCCGCGAAGCCAAAGCACGTGTTGGATCCAACTATGGGCTGAAGATCGACTTTTGAGTTCGAAACATGTTCCCTTGACTAATTGTTGTTGTTATATAATTGAAAGTATGACTTTGAGCTTTCCTTCTTTGCTCCGAAAAATTCCACATCACTAGGAACAAACATAAAATTTTACCAGAGACTGTGGAATCATCCCATGAATATGTGATAACTCTTTTCCTCCAACCGGAACATTCTATCATTGCCTCTAATCCAAACGACCTACAAAAAATTCGGGTTATTATTTGAGTTCGCCAATTTAACAGAGATTGGTCTCGTAGGCTTCGGAAGGAAAGGGATTGCCACATCGAAAATCCCCAATTATTTTTTTCAGAAGCATCGCTCCGTGAAAAAAAATGGGTCAGATCTCCAACAAGTTCCAATCGGATAATATGAATTCACAACCTTCCGTATACATAGCGAAGTTATCCTTCACATACAACATAACCTATAGAAAACAGAATATTATTTGATTAAGAGAACTAACTCAAACTCTCACTCCAAGAAATTTTAATGCATGTTTCGACTCCTAGGAGTCATCATCAGGCTGGAATACGAGAAACTTATGAATAAAAAAAGTTCTATCACTATTGGAAGATGGGTGACATACCTTGCTAGGTAGGAGGAGGTAAGAAAACTAAAATCAATAAAATGGTTCACAAGGGTTTTAGGCCCCAAATCATTTTAAAAAACATTTTCGAATTTGGGTTTTTTGAACCCTCAGATGATCATTTCTCTCAAGATGCTTCTTTTCTGTATAGAAAAACTATCATAGTGTAAAGCAAATGGCGCGAGTATGAAGTGAAAACAAACCATCAGACTACTTGATTCGAAAGATAAAAACAAGTTACAAATGTCATCTATCAAAAACACAAAACATTGAAGTTGACTCAATGGACCATAACATCGAAGTTCGTGAGGAAACAAGAAAATGTGTCTAGATTGACTGAGTCGGGTATTCAAAATTGTGGTTTTTGAAATTAGGAATGACAACATTAAACAAGAGGATTGCCAATGCCGGTTGAATGGAGAGAAAGATTACAAAATGGAATTAAAAGTGGATATTCAATCGAATCTAACTTGTTCATTAAGGCAGACAGTTGAATTTGAATGAGCAGATCTATTGATTTCTAAAATGTCCAGAAGGTTAAGCTTTTTGCCATTAGGATGAACATGTAGGACTCCAAAGTCTTGTGGTATATTATGTTTGTGTTCATTCTCGAGAATATGGTTTGCGAATGAAGATGTAGTGTTGTCAGAGTTACTATATTTGTCATTCGTCTTTTTATGTTCTGCTATCCTGGTGGAAAAAGCTCTCCCTGTCTGACCAACGTATTCTGCATTGCAATCAGAGCATTCGTTCTTGTAAACGCCTGACTTAGAATAATTATACAGATGCAGAAATGTTATGTTGTGCAAAGATTTTTGAAAATTTGAGGCAATGTGGGCCAAAATAGGACACAGATCTGTATAACCTGTTGGATTTTTCAATTGATGGCAGAAGGTTCCTGTTAATGAATTCTGATTGGTGTTTTTTATTAAATTTAGTGGAAAACCGTTATTATGTGCTATTTGTTTTATTATGTTAAGTTTATTATTGAAAGAACTTACTGAAAGGAGTAAATTGAAGAGCCTATGAAACATACTATGAAAACTAGCATATTATATCTGTTGATAGGGGTGATTGGAGCTGAACGGTATAACTGTGTCGATATGGGTGGGCTTTCTGTAAATGTCGAAAGTGAGGTTATTGTAAGATCTATTAATCTTTCAGTCCAAAAAGGGGATAGAACCGTTATCTTCAACTTATTTTCTGATCATTTTTACTTAGAGGAATAATGGCATGTTTATATACAGCCAAATTGGACAATTGAGAAGTATGAATACAAATATTTGTTTGGCGAAAGAATTCTGTTCTCGTGAACACATTTCCATAGATTCGAGTTTGTGATGATAATTGATCCTCAAACACTGAAGTACAGGGTTTTAATTCGAAAACTTTCAATGCAAATATCTCGCGAAACAAAAAAGTTAGGTAAACGCCCGTTTGGCAAAAATGCTGAAGAGTTAGGGGGAACTAGAACCACCATATTTCAGTGAAGAGATGAGTCACCCCGTCGGCGCGACACACCCCAACTTGAAAATGTCGAATGGTACTACCTCTTCTGTGATACCTCAAATGGAAGGTCTCATTCAGTTGTATTCACCTGTACCAGGAGATTTAATAAGGGCAACCGAGAAGCTGTATCTCAGGAGCTAATAAATTGCTAACAAAAGGTATGGTTCGAGGAAGGAAGGTTTGGTGAATAAAATAAAGATCCATACATACAATTCTGGTTCTTACCGCCCTCGCTAGGAGGCGTGTTTATTAAACTATTAGTTCCTGAGATACTGTACCTCGTCACCGTTATTGAATCACCTGGTACAATACTTCTTTTCCATCCATTGCATGGTGTACGAAAAACATAAAGTAGAATAAAATAAAATTAATTGTGTTGAAAGTATATTTCATTCGATCAGATGCTCAAAATGCATTCCATTCTGTTGTGAGCAATAGTTTAATCGATGTTTTAATGCAATTTTCAGATTTTGGAACACATTTCTTGGAATAGATCTGTATTCTGCAATAATGCGTTGTCGAAGATCTTTTATTGATGTAGGTTATGTCCAACTGATTCACTATTTCGGCAACATATAAAGGTTAAATGGTGGTGTTCAACATTTCGAAATGAGTATCACCATCAAAATTGCCATTGATAAATAATGGCCCAATTACTGTGGGACCTGAAATTCCCGCCCAGATATTTGATTTTTCTAGATGTTGCGTGTGTCGGTCCTGGTTCCCATATTTGAAGAGCAGCACCCAAACATTCCCTGAAACTATTGGATTCTATTCAAAAAAGGGCAATTCGTCTCGTGGGTGATGCCTCGCTCACAAACTCACTCACTTCTCTGAAACACCGTAGGAAAGTTGACGATCTGGCTCTAGAATGTTGTTAACTCGGAAACGGAGAGAGATGCGAACTACGTTAAATTACGAAAAAAATGCACAATTTCATGACCATTTCAAATATCAAAAGAAATCGAGGACATCCCTCTTATTTCCTGAAATATCCTGAAAAAACTGAAAATAGTCGATTTTTATTATAATCAATAACTTTTGAACTGTTTCTACTAAATTTTTGAAATTTGGTAAACTTACTGAAGGTCGCATGGCGAATTCAACGGTGATATGAAAAAAATTCTAGGCACACTATATTCGAAGATATTGAAGCAAATTTTGATTTTTCTAATGGTCGCCATATTGGATTTTTGCACCATCCGATAGATCAAAAAATTACCAATTCATCGATGTATCACACTTCCATGTTTGATGATGGAATGACGAAAATACAGGAAAAATAGAAAATTAATAATTGAGTTAACGTATAAGATCTGCTATTAGGCTTACTATTCCAGATATTTTCACTGAAAGTCAAGAAAATAATATGAAACTCAATATCTGAGGTGCTCGACGTGATACTCGACTGCAAATAATGTAATTTGTTGCTCTCCGTATGGTTGCCTCTTGTACTGAATCGATTGTTTATACGATTAAATTTGTTCTCGTAAATCTGCAGCGTCTCTGATTGTTCTGCAATAAGCTGTATTTTTCAAATATCTTCATAGGATCTAGTTCAATGGATTAATAAAAACACCATCTGAATTCTTTCCGGCAAACTGTACACCATGATCAACAGAAAATAGTTCGCAATTCCTTTGAGATAATTTCAATTCGACGGTGTCCTGACTTTACAGTAAAACCTTGCAAAAAGTAATAAATTTTTACTAACATTGAAAGGTTGGTACAAACCCGATAAAAACAATGCTACTTCTTCGAATCCTTCTCATTTATTCTGAAGGACTGCTCCAACATGATTTTGTTTTTTGTTAACAACAAACTGGCATACATGGGGACCATCTAATAAAATGGAATATCCCCTGCATAACAAGAATGGAATCGATTGTACTATTGTTGAACATCTGATCAGATGAATTATTTCCTCACAATTCATTTCATTTGATTCGACTTTATGTTTTTCGTACACCCTGTAGTGGGTGGAAAAAAAATTGAACAGGATCAATAAGGCACAGATCCGACCTGTCCTGTAATACTGCTTCCATAATTGGAGTACAGCACCCAAACATACCCTGAAACTGTTGGATTATGTCCAAAAAAGGGCAATTTGTCTCGTGGGTGATGCCTAGCTCACGAACTCATACTCACTTTTCTGGAACGCCGTAGAAAAGTTGGCGATCTGGCTCTATTAATTAATTATATCGCTATAAAACGTTTCGTCTTCGAAACATATTCTACAGAAAATTACTAACTCAACGAAAACTTTGAAAGACTGATGCCAAAGTAAATGTCAAACTGACAATCAACAACAATCATATTCACTTCTTTTTCAAAGCCTACTTTTTGTATCGACAGCAATAAACACTCATTTATAAAATTCTTGTAACGGTTCAAGAAATAATCTTGCAAATTCAAGTTGTTGTGCTGTGGTATACTTATAATTCTCATCAATTGATCAAAAGTGGTTTTATGACAGTACCTGCAGTCATAAAATCAAGAAACAATGTCCCCAGAGTTTAAGAAGCTCATGGGAACAGGTTTGAATCTCTAAATATTTCCTGATAATGGTCAAAACTGAATCGAAACATCATGTGTAGTACATCGTTGAATTCAGAATAAAAAGTGCCTCTCAAATTTGACATTATGAAATCAGGACCGTATTTGAAAAAAATTAAGTTGATGATGGTTGCGCAAAGACGAAACGTTCGATTCAGAAATTGATGATGCCATATTGGAATTCATCGAAAGTTGCTGTGAATATGTTGCAACAGATTTGTTCCAACCTGACTAATAACGCAAGAAGAAAATAATACCGAAAACCCAAAACATCTGTTTTTTCAGAATAACCCAAAAACGAAGAGTCGTATCTCAGATTTCTTGATATCACATTGTTGATCTTTCGATTTCACAACTTTCTTCCCATTTAACCAAAACCGTATCTCTTATAGTTTAGAATATCCCCATTCTGGACCTCCTTATCTTGGACACAGATGTGTATATTTCACTCGACTCATGAATAAAAAGTGGATATTTGTTTCAGGAACCAAGTTTCGACTGTCGAGGGTGACTGGTCACATCTGAGAAGTTCAGTGTCCACGCTGTTCCTGGGAGAGAATGACATAGTCGAAATCCCAGCCGACCTAAGTTCGAAAAAGTCTCACGGTTTACGACAGCTCAAGTCGCTCATATGGCTCAATCTCGACGGAAACCGAATATACAATCTCCAAAAACTCTCACTTCCAGCTACTCTGCAAACTGCAAGCCTATCCCACAATTTGATTGACATCTTCCCTACACACATACTTTCATCTTTACCGCAGCTACAGTGGCTCTATCTGAGAGGCAATCACATAAAGACTCTACCAGATCATACTTTCTCGAAAAGGCTGTGGATAGAGAAGATAGACTTGGCTGAAAACTTCCTGAAAGTTCTGCCCAGAAGCCCTTTCAACAACTCCGTACGCGTTAGAGATCTCAACTTGGCTCACAACGATTTCAGAATGCTCACAGCAGAAAGCTTCAATGGCCTTGCGATGAGAAGGATCATTCTGTCGTATAACATGCTTGACACCCTAGATATACGATGCTTCAGTGGTATCGATGACACCCTCGAATATATCGATTTCGATCACAACAACTTCAGACATATACCACAAGCAGTCAGTCATCTGAAAAACCTCAAATACCTTTACTTATCATCCAATTCCTTGAGCATCATACCAGAAGATGCTTTCGACAAAATCTGTTCCAACCTCAAGGCTTTAAGTCTCAGTGGAAATAATTTGATGAAGATACCTTCACAAGCGTTGCAAAATTGCACAAGTATATCTCATTTCAATGTGGCGTTCAACGAAATCTATGAAATACAAGATGGAGATCTCTCCAACTGGGTATCCAATATTAAAAGTTTGATCTTGAGTAATAATCGTATTATGAATCTGAGAAGCCACGTATTTGCTGAGCTACAGAATTTGAATGAACTAAGTTTGAGCTTCAATCCTTTGAGAGTCATCGACAAAACAGCATTCCTCGGACTGCAGAATCTAGAAAGTCTAGAACTCTCATTCAGTTTGAATTCAGATTTGAGCATTGACGAAATCTTCTCTCCTCTAATCAATGTACAGTGGTTATCCATAGATAACAATAACCTGAAGAATCTTCCCAAACATCTCATCAAACGTTTAGGACAACTCAGATACTTCAACGTAGAATCGAATGACTTACATTTCATATCCAATGATTTTTTCCATTCTCACACTCAACTTAAAGATATTAGGATGTCCTATAATGAATTGAAATATGTGGAAACTGGTACATTCAGGAATATGCCTAACTTGGAATCGGTTTCTTTATGTGGAAACAAGATCGAGTATATTCAGAGTGGAAGCTTTGCTAATTTACCAAATCTTACTGGAGTCATGCTTTCTCATAATTATATTCATCGTATGAGTCCCAATGCTTTCGTGAATTTAACCTCAATGAATCATCTCAATTTGCAAAATAATTTGCTGAGTGAGTTGAGTTTCAAATGTTTCACTAATGTTACAGGACCTTTAGTATTGAATTTCACCCGAAACCTCATTTCATCTTGTACTTCCGATTCCAGGATTCTCAGAATTACCGTTATAGATCTGACGTATAATAAATTAGTTAGAGTTCCGAAGTGTTTGACGCATACTGCTTCATTGAAAAAATTATTCCTGAATCACAACAGCATAACTTCTCTAGATCACAATGCTTTCATTCACTTGAGTTCCCTCGAAATTTTGCAACTGAATAATAATAATATTTTCTCAGTTGGTAGGAGAGCCTTTTTCGGCTTGAGCAATATACAAGTTCTTGATTTATCTTGTAATAACATCGGCCAATTGCACACTAGTCAATTCGTCAATATGCATAAGCTACGTATCGTGAATCTCAAAGAAAACCGTTTGAGTTATTTGCCTAGAGATATTTTCAGCGATACTCTCTTAGAAATGTTAGACTTGAGCTTCAACTCTTTCGCGGTCGTTCCAACCGCCAGTATATCAGACATAGGAATCACCCTGAGACATTTATCTCTGCGCTCTAATAACATAGAGCATGTTGATATAACCACCTTTCCTGATGTATCGTCCCTACAGTTCCTCGATCTGAGCAACAACAAACTCACCATACTCCCTGACAATGTATTCACAGGCCTGGGGCTATTGCAAACTCTTGACCTAAGTTTCAATCCCTTGAGATCCAATTTCAAGGAACTGTTTCATTACGCACAAAGCTTGAAATATCTGGATCTCTCTGGCTCCGGCATAACTTTCACACCTCACTTTCCATTGCCTAACTTGATTCACCTCAATTTGTCGCACAACCAAATAGAGAGTATAAGTAGACACTCGGTTGGGCAACTCGTTAAGCTGAAGTTGCTGGATATCAGTCACAATTATTTAGAAAGTGTACCGACGCATCTGTGGGTGCATTTGCCTAGGTTGAAGATTCTTAATATGTCGAATAATCCGCTGAAGGAGTTGACTGCCGACAGCTTTCAAGGACTCAATCACTTGCAGGAGTTGACTTTGTTGAATATGAAATATATAACTAAGTTCGAGAGCGATAGTATCCAACAGCTCAGGATATTATCAAAACTGACCATAGAGACTTGGCCGAGGTTGGATCATTTTTACGACCAATTTTGCAACTTACTTTCGCATCTGGATCAGCTGAGGATTCTCAAGATACATTTTTCTGAAAGGAAGCTGGATGAGCAACTACTTTGCATCACGAATAGGAAAATAAGACAGCTGGAAATACGTGGGAGGAACCTGAAAACTATTGATAGAGACGCCTTTGCTAGATTTACCCGTAATCCAGAATTGGTGCTGAAGATACATGGTACTCAAATCGAAGATTTACCTGCAGGATTATTTGCTAATATGTATAAAATTGGGTACCTGAAGATCGACTTGAGACACAATCAGCTATCTCATTTGAGTCCTGAGATTTTTTATGGCAATTCTAGTGGATGGAGTGATGTTGGAACAACTCTCATTTCAGGTGAGACTTCGAAGGTATTCAGGTTCCTAGTATCATCAGTTCTCCTGATATTTCGTCCGATTATTTTCATCTGAAGATGACCGAAATCATACAGACCTCGACAATTTGGACCCATACTAGAATAAGTGATTATTTTTGCATTTTCCTGTTCTAGCTCCAGATAGTGGAATGATCTGATGATTCAACAGTTTAGTAAAGTTTTAATTGAAATGTTGCAAAAGAAAAACAAGGATTTTGGAAGGAAGACGAAATTCATAATCAATGTTGCTTTTGAAAGAATTTCGGGAGTTCAGAATAGTCAGCAATGTAACTTATTTGAGCATAAATTCATCTCGGATAGCATTTCTTGATCATTAAATGAGTTAACTGAGTGAATTTTCTCTATTATGAATCTTCATACATATCTGACCAATGTATTGTTGATAACAATAATTGTTTGAGAGCAAGAGATTGTTTTCAGAGTCCTATTGTTCATGTCTGTACTGAGCTGATTGAAGATATTCAGCAAATCAAATGATGGTTCAGGAATGAGAGGAATTGGAGGAAAAAATTCTAGATCCGAGAGAGCCTGATCACATTATAGTTGTTTTTTATAGATTGAGGTTTCACGGGAATATTGAAGAGTCTTATAAGAACTAAAGAGGGGAACTGGATGCTCTCGAGTCATGAGAACATTATAAGATGATCTATTTTCTTGACTCATTATGCTCTATCCACGTACTGGAAAACACGTGAGAGTTTCATGGTGTAGAAACGACATTGCCTGTATTACATTTGATTCATTCAAAGTAACATATTCGATTGTAAACACGGCAAATTATTCTGTGAAGAACACTGAATAATTCTCACCTCATACGGTGGGAAAGAATTGCCTAATAAGCATGACATCGACTAGCCCAGCCCAATAATCAAACAAGAATCATTGCTGAATATGCGTAGGTAATTCCAAACATATAACTCAAAAAATTGCTCACGTGAGTAAACTGCATATCATTGACACTATAGACGGTTCCTCATTGTTCACCTAGGTCAGATATTTTCTATCCAATTCGACATGTTATTCGACACTTCACCAACATGGCGGAAGTTTCTTTACGTAACTAGTTACGTGAATATCAATAATCAATATTTTGCTCTGATATCCTTGAATGATGGTGATTTCTCAGGTTAGGGGTGAAGAAAATTATCATTCAGCTCGATAGTCACTACGAACAGTTGGAAGTTTTCAATCCATCACAAATACAGGATGGGCAAACGAAAATGAGACTGGCTGAATAACTTTCATGAAACTATTTATTTAAGGAGAAACATTGAAATAGGTTGATTTTAAATCAATGGGAGAATCCGTTTCATCCGACCTTCAACTGTTTCAGGTAATTTTCCTTACCTCCACTCGATAGCTGACCACTAGAATTTCAGAGAAGGTAATTATTTGATGGTGAAATTGGTAATAAGAATATGAATGAGATACGTTTCAATTAAAGGGCCTTCTTGAGCCCACCGTTTGGCACTTTTACTGGCAACTGATATTATCAAACACTTGATGCAACAATATAATCACAATATGACATAACAATATGAAAAATGAGCTTGGATGATTTGAAAATATTGCCGTACTACCAGCGTTTACAAACTGAATTCTTCATTCATTCAAGTACAGTAAAAGTCTCAAGATATGAATATCCCTAATAGCACACAACGTCCTAGAAAAGTCCCTATTTGGTACAATTCACGTCCGAATGTCCCGAACCAAGAATAGGTGTCCTTGGGACGTCCCATTCCGTACATCTCATGCAATGTCCCAGCAAGGACGTCCACGGAATGTCCCAGCTGGTACATCATTTCAAATGTCCTAGAAATAGCATCCCTTAGACGTTCCACGTGGTACATATTGTAGAATGTTCATGCAAGGATGTCCTTGGCATGTCCCTGATGGGATATGATTTTAATCGTTCCTTTAGGGACATCCATCGGATGTCCCGAGTAGTACACATTTTGGCATGACTTCATATTCTATATAATGTCCCTTCTAGACAACCATGAAATGTCCCTGATAGTACATTTCTTCAAATATCTCTGCACAGACGCCCTTAGTATTTCCAGGATCGTATAACAATCGAAATGTCCCTTAGGGACATCCTTCGAATGTCCCTCAGGGATATCCGTCGGATGTTCCAACTAGTACATGAACTGTACTCTTCCAATGTCCTAGAAATAACGTCCTACGGACGTCCCAGTCGATACTTTCAATATGTTGTCCCTGCGAGGACGTTAACTTACACATCGCCGCCGAATAATTGCTCGTAGGCTATAAGTACTCCTCGTCAATGTCCTTCACGTAAGTCCATTGGACATCCTTGTAAACCTTTTTTGGGGACCTTCTACAGACCATCAACTCAACTGGATATCCTAATCCGTCATGCAAGATCTGGTCCTAGAGGGACCCAGAAATATTCAAATTCAAGAATAATTCGTACGTCCCTGGGACATCCTATGGACATCCAATTGATATCCCTCAACGATGCTGATAGGTTGTCCTATGGATGTCCTTAGGATGTCCTCTGTAGAGCTTGATGAGGAATACTGCCAGATTCAGGTATTCGATAGTTGTCCCAGGGACATCCCTCATGGATGTCCCTAGTTGGTCCTCAAGTGGGACATTTGTGCGTCCCACAGACGTCCAATGGACGTCCACGGTACCAAATTCCAACGTCCTATGGACGTCCTGAATGTCCCGACAGGACGTCCTAAGGATATCCATGGGACATAAGTGTGTTATTAGGGATGTGATTCAATTTAGTGCATTGTATTACAAATAAAATAACCTTTTATATCTATATACATCATGAACCTCATGGACGTCCAGTGGACTTCCACTTAGGTCTATAAAGGTCTGATATAAGTCCAATAAAGGTCCAGTTACACTGGATATAACATCTTATATACTTACGTCATGGATGTCCAGTGGACATACATGAAGAACGTCCATCGAACGTAGTACATGTTTTTCATATACGTCCATTATCCGTCCAATAAATGTCTAGATATAATATCTTATGTACGTACATTCAGGATGTCCATAAAGAATCTCAATTGGACGTATTACAAGTATCTTTCATACGTCCATTATACGTCTGTTAGTAGAGGAAAATAGTATTAGTTATTAGTAGTAGTGTTCCGTAGTCGAGGAAATGTAAAAATCAAATGTCTGACTACTTCAAATCCTATATTATCCAGCTCAACTTTGACTAGTACTGTGGCATCCAATTCCAATCCAGATTTCAGGAGGTTATCTCTATAATATCATCAGCTAAGCCGTCTATGCATTGTGGACAAATCACGAACTCATAGGTTATTCACAGAATATCACGACCTACTTTTCAGGGCACATAAAATTATAAATATAAAATAAGTACATGAAAAGGAATATCTAAACATATACTCTCATACCTGCTTTCAATGATTCGGTCCCAAATAGACTGATTACCAAAATTTATCACGTACACAACACACAAATCACCATATTATATAATGATCACGGTCTTATGATACAACTCAAAATGGCGTCTCGTTCTTGTCTGTCATTTACACTTTGGAGCTGGACCATCTCGGTCTTGTTCCTGTCTGTTGCCTCACTTCATGATCCGATCAGATTCATACATTGAATGTATATGAACGTACAATTAATTTGTAAACGTACAAACTGAACATCACTCGGATGATCTAAAACTACCATACAATGGAGTTTTCAGAGTTTTGAGAATCGTAAATCCACTGGAAAATCATTGGACGCACGAAACGGAACGTACAATACAAATCCGGAATCGTACAGACACTGAACGTACATTGAAGTACAATTAGTGAACGTACAAACTACCATCATAGAGATAAATCACAATATCGAGTTTTGTACTTCCAATGGACATTCATTAGACGTACAATATTGAACATACGATATATTATATCCCGAATCGTTCATTCATTGATCGTACATAGATGTTCAATTTGTGATCATACAATCCAGATCACTTCCGTAAATTTTTTATACGTTCACTGCCATCATATGGATGTTTCATGATGTCGAAAATTTTACATCCACTGGACGATCATTGAACGCACGAAACTGAACGTACAGGATGATTCACCATAAATGTCGCCCTCCCTCTAGCTCAGTTATTTATGAACCTATTGCAGAATTCCAAATATCATCAAATGATTTTCGATAGAGTTTTATTCCGCTACATCAGAAAATACAAGGTGCTCATAACGGTAATGATTACAGAAATATAGGGTGTTCAAAACCGAGATTTTTCAACTTTAGGATTTTTCTGTGACGAAACTATTCATTATCGGTCAGAACGGCTTTTATGTCTGTATCTCAACTTCTGATTTACTATCTACTGACATTAAATAATTGGAACAGATACAGGGTTATCAGAATTCTGAATCTTGAACCACACTATATATGTTCCAATTGAATGTCAGTTGATAGAGAATCGAAAGTTGAGATAGGGACATTAGAGCCGTTTTGAGCAATAATGAATAGTTTCGACAAAAAAAATACTAAAGTTGAAAAATTTCGATTTTGAACACCCTAAATCTCTGTAATCATTCCCGCTAGACCCCAAGTGTGATGCATTGATGAAATCAGCTCTTCAGGGAAAATCTAAAAATACAATATAATACAGGGAGTGTCATTCAAAAAAATCAAGTAGTACTCTGTAGATCGTTTGTTCCGAGCACCCTGCATTTTCTGATGCAACGGGAAAAAATTCTGGAAAATAATTTTAGTTGATTCTTCGAATTTTCAAATCGGTTAAAAAGTAAGTGAGCTAGCGGAGGGGGCATTAATGGTGAATCACCCCGTACAATACATATCTGGAATCGTCCATCCACTGAATGTACACGGTGATTCACCATAAATGTCCCCCCCTCTAGCTCACTTATTTTTGAACCGATTCAAGAATTTGAAAAATTATTCAAAATGATTTTTCAGAATTCTTTTTCCCGTTGCATCAGAAAATACAGGGTGCTCGGAACAAATGATCTACAGAGTACTACTTGATTTTTTCTAATAGAAAACCCTGTATTTCATTGTATTTTCAGATTCTTGCTGAAGAGCTGATTTTATCAATGTATCACACTTGGGGTCTAGCGAAAATGATTACAGAGATATGGGGTGTTCAAAATCGAGATTCTTTTAGTTTAGGATTTTTTTGTCTCGAAACTATTCATTATTGGTCGAAACGGCTTCTATGTTTCCATCTTAACTTTTGATTTACTGTCTACTGACATTTGATTGGAACATTTACAGGGTGGTTCAAGATTCAGAATTTTGATACCCCGTAATAGATCCAATTATTAAATGTCAGAAGATAGTGAATCAAAAGTTGAGATATGGACATGAAAGCCGTTTTGACCGATGATGAATAGTTTCGTCTCAAAAAAATCCTAAAAGTGGAAAAATCTCGATTTTAAACACCTTATATCTCTGTAATCTTTCCCGCTAGACCCCAAGTGTGATACATTGATGGAATCAGCTCTTCAGAAAGAATCTAAAAATACAATAAAAAATAGGGTGTTCCATATAAAAAAATCAAATAGTACCCTGTAGATAGTTTGTTCCGAGCACCCTGTATTTTCTGATGCAGCGGAAAAAAACTTTATCGAAAATCATTCAAGATGATATTTCAAATTTAGGAATCGGTTTAAAATTAACTGAACTAGAGGGGGGGACATTTATGGTGAATCACCCTGTACATGAAAGTACAATTTGTGAACATACAATTTGGATCTGATTATGTACATTCCTTGGACGTACTGAAACTACCATCATATACATGATTCACAATGACGAATATTGTACTTACAATAATGAACATCCGTCAGATCTGCAATTTTGAACGAACAAAATATATTCGAACTCGTACAATTATTGAACGTACATTGACGTTCAAATCTTGAATGTACAATCTTGATCCGATTCAGTACATTTCTTAAACGTTATTCAACCTACAGATATGAATGTTCTGGTAGTGTCGAATATCGTTTCCCCAATAAACATCCATAACACGTACAGTACTGAACGTTACAAAGTATATCCTTGAGTGTACATCCATCGAATGTTAATATTAGGTTTATAGACGTTTGGACATTATTCGGACCTAAGCAGGACGTCCACTGGACGCCGTGTGCTAGATACCTTAACAACACAAGTATGTCCTAGGGTCTTTCCAGGGACGGCCCTAACTTTATACTAGGACATCCCAGGGATATCCTTTGTCGGGAAAAAGTACATACTGAAGACGTACTAGGGACATCCACTTTCCGACAAAAAGAACATCCAAGGGAAGTCCTTCTGGTACGTATCTGGGGTACCAAGTACAAAGAAAGGATATCCCTAGGACGTCCCAAAGATATTCCAGGGACATCCCTTCAACAAAAGGGAAAAGAATGTAGGTCGGGTAGGAATTGAACTCGAGACCTCCACCTTATCAGGCACGCACCCTACTCAATTGGCTAATATGCCTTATGCAGATTTATGTATCAAACAGATTCATAAACAGTTCAAAACTGAAATCTGAATAGATCCCAGGTAGCCAGACTGACGAATGTGACGTCTATAGGACCGCTATCTAAGGTCTTTTTTGGTCTCATACGTCTTTTGACCAAATTATGACGTCATGTGGACGTCATTAATGTGACGTCTTATGGACAGCCACTGTTTGTCGTCGTATAGACGTCAATCTATGGTTTTCATATTTTTTTGGGTATTAGCATTATCATTATCATCATCATTATCATTATTATTACCATTACTATAATTATTATTATTATTATTATTATTATTATTATCATGTATGTATAGGAAAACGAAGTTTTAAAATGAATTGATTAATTTATCCAAATAACTGTATGACTGTATGATAAAAATGTATTTTATTCCATAGGCTTCCCTTGATTTTCAATGTTCAAATTTAGCGCCAAAGACAATTCTCACTTACCGACCAGATGGCCAATGGCGATCAAGTAATTATGCGAAGAGATTGTGTATGCGACTCGCGACCATCTCGCGACTGCCGTTAGTGGCGTTAGCGTTAGTGCCGCTCAGCGGTCCGTTCTGTGGTTCAGCGTCAAGCTAGCATCGTGCATGGTGCGTTCCCGTTCATGTTCATTGTCCATCGTCCATGTTCGAATGGGTGTTGTTTGTGAACGGCGTCTGTGCCATTGGATTTGTTAAGAATGTTAAAATGTTGAGTGTTTGAGTGGTATTTCTATACAGTCTGTATTTCACGTGAAAGTATTCAAGATGTATTGTGTAATACAATTCGATGACAGTGGAAGCAACAGTGTAGCTGTTGTTCACGAAACTTGGCTGACGCCTTTGAAAAAGGAAGTGTTTTGGCCGCCATTTAAAGACAGCAAAACATACAAAAGAGCTCTCTGCGAAGGGGAGCCATTGACGCTGAAATTTTCATTTATATACAGGGTGTTTCAAAAAAACCTGACCCCCTTACTAGGGTAGGTAGACCACTGCAAAATAAGTTGGGTTTACTCAGTGAAAAAAATTCGTATCGGCATCCGATATCAAGATACAAGGTGTTGAAAAAATGATTTTTTTACACGTTTTTCAAGATTATGTCGAAATTACTGGCAACATTGTAGTGAAATTTTGCATGGATGTTTCATGGAATCTGACACATCGCATGCATTTGTTTTTATATCTGATTCTTATAGAGGGCGCTAATTGCACGGTTCGTACCGAGTAGTTTTGATCATAACTTTTTTGAGGTAAGATTTTTTAATCCAAATCTGATGTGCACCTGAACATCATTTGATTTCACACCAAAGAAGGTACTCTTGGAGCAACTCGAAACTATTTTTCGTTTTGGGAATATTTCGATTAGAAAATGATGAAGTGAAACCAGTTGCTGGTATAGAGCTATGTATTAGAGTGAGCATTATAAAAAAATATCACATATTTATTGAAAACCGAGAACAACAATGAATTCTGATGCTGAACTTATTGATTTAACAATGAATCACAAGAAAAACATCGAAAAGATTTGACTAAGAACATGGATTATACAATTTTATTGTATCTTGCGGAGAAAGTCTATGCTACATAGGTAAATTCACGTCAAGAGTTGTAAGACATAATTGAACATCACTGAAATGACCTAACAGCTGATCCTCAACTGTTGAGAAGAATAATACATTCTCAAGAAAAGAATATAGAATCGTTTTTTCTTCGTAACCTAGTACATTTTGAACCCTTACTCTAACTGATTCTATATTTTATGTTTCAAGTCGAATATCTCCTAATTTTCTACTTATGATTCTTTGTTCCATCAATAACTTCAGCACAAGAATAATTTCATTGTCTTTGAATCTGAATAAATAGGTAATTGAACTCAATAAAATTCATTTTATACCAGCATCAGCTATTACTCCATTATTTTCAAATCGAAACATTCCGAAAACAGAACATAGTATCGTGTTTCACCAAGAGTACCTTTTTGGTGTAAAATTGAATGCTGTTCAAGTTCATATCATATTTGGATCGAAAGATATAACCTCAAAGAAGTTATGTTCTAAACTACTCGGTACGAACCCTGTAACTAGCGCCCTCTATGAGAGTCAGATATAAAAACAAATTCATGTGATGTGTCAGATTTCAAGAAACATTCATACAAAATTTCATTACAATGTTGCCAGTAGTTTCGACATAATCATGAAAAATGTGTAAAAAAATTAATTTTTCAACACCTTGTATCATGAAAACGAATGCCGTTACGACATTTTTTCACTGAGCAAACCCAACTTATTTCGCAGTGTTCTACCTGCCCTAGCAAGGGGGTTAGGTTATTTTGAAACACCCTGTATATGTAATACCTTACATTACTATCTTGTTAATAAAATCTCCATTCGTAGCAAATTTATTTTATAGCACAAATGATTACCTTCCTCCCCAGATTATAACCATTAACCTCAGAATTTTATAAAAAAAACAGACGTCTTATTGACGTCGGAAATTGGTCAGTAGTGTCAGTTTAAGGTCCAATTTGAAAACACATACTGACGTCTAAAAGACTTTCAAATATGACGTCATTTGGATGTGTCTTACTTACGTCATTTGGACGTCGCATTTGTTGAAATAAAGACGTCTTTTGGCCGAATGTGATGCCGTCAATTAGACGTCATATAGTCGTCATGTGCTACCTGGGATACAACTTTGTTAGAATCTCATGTATAATTATTATCATTCTTGTGTTCAAAAATGAGGGGCAATATGCATTCACTTTTTCGGTTTGCGAAAAATGGTCATTTGTCAAAAAGTTCTGAGACTACAATCTTTATTTTCATTACAAATATTTTCTGGAAGAAAAACAAACATTTTCGAAAAAATTCAACCCAATATTTTGATGAATTTCAATGACTCTGATGTGGATAAATATCAGATATTAAAGAGACACGAATAGGATAACCTAAGGCTGTACCAGGCGGGATGTCCACTATACAACCACTGCGGGACATCCCCTGGATGCCCCAATCATGTCCTTGTACCGCGGGACAGAAGAGGGACGTATCAAAGATATTCCTGTGTTGTTTGGGTAGGTTTTTGCGTTTTTCCGAATATACAATCTTCCGGAAGTTATTGGGTCTGTTTCGTATCTGTTGGCCAGACCTGTATGTGTAGGAGATAGAAGTTATAATTCATTATTCATCTCCAGGAGGCCTCACGATATCAGACAACCCCTTCAGATGCGGCTGTCACCTGGCTTGGCTAGGCCACTGGCTGAGACGCTGGCTGAGAGAGAGTGTCCACACGCATAACCAACCGATCGAGTCGGCCTTGAGGATGACGGCGGCTGTCAAAGAGTCGACTTGCTTAGATGTCGTCACCGGCAAAAAAGTGCCCATCGTCGATCTGCCGCAAGAGGACAGCAGCTGTCTTGCGAGCGCTTTGAGCAACTCTGCGCTATCTAGAGAGGACTCTGTTATGTTGGTGTTTCTGTTGTTCCTATTCGATTTTTTCAGGTAGTTTTCGTTCGAATTGATAAGCATGTACATACAGTGAACTAATTTTACAGTATATTATTCAGTCTGATTATTGTATTTGTATTTGTATTCATTCATAGTGTTACTACATTGTAAAATGTTTACACTCGTCAATATATATATAATAAAATCGTTTGATAATGAATAGATGAATGAAAGGAACAATGAAGAAAATAGAATGAATAACAATAAACATGATCACATTGGTCAAACAAACAAATACACTTATTATTCCAAATTTTTTGGGATTTTCTCTCCTCGTTTCTATAAAATAATAATATGAATATCATTTCAATATACGTGTGGTAGAGACAAATCAGATGATTTGCCCCAAAATGTCACTGCGTTTGAAGAATTTTCCTATCAGAGAGCCTGAAAGAAAAATTCACTAGCTTGTCAGTGACAATTTGTATTGAAAAAATTTTGGAGAAGATGAATAAAGGTATATAGAAAAAATATCAAATTTTCACTTATCTTTGGACGTTTCGGGACTGGTTCTGCGCCCGTTTTCAACATGAAAAGAGATTATTTCGATAGCGAAGTCGTATAATATGTCTCGAAGCTTTTCAGTTTTCAATGAAAATTGGTGACGTTGGCAATCAAATGAGTTACAGGATGTTTTCATTAATTAATCTTGAATTCACCATTTTCATGTTCATATTTTAGTAGTGAATACCATGTTCTGTCTATATCAACTGAACAAGAAGCAATGCTATCGTCTCCGTTCAGAAGAATGCAAGCAGATTCCTTGATTTTTCTCTTCTGGTTGTTATCTTCTTTTCCAATGATTTTAATATTATTTCACTCTGCCATATGTTGTCCGTCTTCAGTAAGGATATGTTCAGCTAGTTTCGATTTATCGATGTGTCTTTTCTTTATATTGTACTCATGTTCCTTCGTCCTTACTGAAAGAGGTCTCTTGGTTTCACCTGTATAAAACTTTCCACAAACACAAGGTATACTGTAAATACAATTTTTTGACGATTGTTCTTCATTTTTCGGCTTCGTTTGAGTTAGAATTGATCTCATTGTATTTTCAGTTTTCAACACAGTTTTCACTTGAAATTTATCACCAACACGTTTTATTTTTTCAGATTTGCCGGGAATGTATGGTATTATATTTGTCGTTATTGATGGTTGATTTTGTTGTGGTTGACCCTGTTTCTTTTCAATTTGATGAATCGTTCCATCGACGAAATTCTTCGGATAGGAATTGAGTTGGAGAACATTTTTAATGTGGTGGACTTCGTTATTGAAAATTTATTTGTTGGTCAGATGATATTGATTTGGCTCTATCATGGAGTGATTTGATTATTCCTTTCTTGATACTTTTCTGATGATTTGATTGAAAGTTCAAGTATCTGTTAGTATGGGTCTTTTTACGATATACACTCGTTACAAATATATTACTTGATTTTTCGATAAGAACATCTGATTTGTCCTTACTACACGTATATTGAAATAATATTCATATTTTCATTTTATAGAAACGAGGAGAGAAAATCCCAAAAAATTTGGAATAATGAATGTACTACCTCCTCGATAAACCTACAGACAGTATTTAAATACACTTAGTTCTACAAATATCACATTTCAGTATTGTTAACTAGAAGTTTTATGAATCTATATTATGTCATGTGTCAATAAGGCTGTGAATTCCTGAATAGAGTAGAAACATATTCTGATCAGATACTTTTTCAATTTACATTTTATGAGCATTGAATTCAATTTCTTCATATCGTCAGGTAATTTGTTGAAGAAACTCGGACCATAGAAATTGAAATCTTGTTGAGATTCCTGAAGTCTATTTGTAGCAATGGCAATATTATTGTTATTTCTCGAATTGTGAGAATGGATATCAGAATTTTGTTAGCATTCAGTCAAGTGTTCTTTCACATAAACCAGGCATTGATAAATGTACATACTAGGCAAACTGAGAAAATTATATTCAATAAATAGGCCTTCACAATGTGCCCTGGGACTTGAGCCTGATATAATTCTAACTGCTTGTTTTTGTTGCCTAAAAAGGTTTTGCATGTTTGCGCTGTGTCCCCAAATCGGAATCCCGTATTGCAAGTGACTATTCATGAAAGCAAAGTATGCAATTTGCATCAAATCATGTGATACAGATCTCCTCAATCGCCTCAATAAACACAAATTTGAAGATAGTTTCTTCGCGAGATGTTCGGTATGAACGTTCTATGTTAATTTGCTGTCGATTTGGAATCCTAATAATTCAACTGAGGCAATATTTGTAGTATTCTTCCTAGTTGCTAAAGTTATCTTCTGAGTTTTTTCCACATTTATTTTTAGTTTGATTGAAGAAAAATATGTCTCTGCAATTTCTTCAGCGTTATTGGAATATTCATGAACATCATCAATAACTCTATTCTGGTTTATGAAAGTGGCATCATCTGCATAAACGATAGTGTCAGTGTTCTCCAGTCAACGAGGAAGGTCATTTATGTAAACCAAGAATAATATTGGGCCTGAAATAGAGCCCTAGGAACGCCATAGTCATTGTTCCTGTGACTTGATCTTTGACTGTTCAATTCAACAAATTGTTTTTTATTCGATAAATCAGAGTCAATGAGTTTCAGAGCCGTATTACCGATTTTGTAGTATTTTATTTTCGATTTCGATATGGAGTGTTCTACGCAATCAAATGCTTTGCTCAAGTCACACATGGTTACATCAATATGAAGGCCTTCCTCTAATGCTGCTGTTACTACTTCTACGAACTTGATCATTATGATCATGGCAAGAGTAGTGGATTTTCCTGTCCGAAAACCAACCTGTACTGATGAGAGTGAATTGTTCCTGCTAAACATGATAACATAACTCAAACATAAATGTAATATTACAATGTGACTTTGTGATGTTATTTAGAGATATGCTTGATATCACAGTTACGTTGCGGCAATCGACGTATGTGCCTCGTATAAATATTGCAATGTAATGTTGATGGTAAATATTATATAAATATATCAGGAATCACATAAAATCAATGTTACTTCATAACGTATATTTAATGTTACTCAAAACATCTAAACAATATTGTAAATTAACATTCTAATTAGTTTCTAGGAGTTTTTAGGTTATGTCTATTTTGTCTGGAATCATCAAGAAAATCATCTGAATGATCTTCAGAAAAGACATCAGAGAAGATGAACTATCCCTGAATATGAATTGATCTAACCGAACTCCTGAAAAACTATACATAGTATGATCTATAGTTACCCAGTGATATTTTGAGACAGATTTACTACTCTTTTCCTAAGTATCATTTTAGTTATTCTGCCTCATAAATCTAGTCAGTCCAGCTATATGATTTCTGCATAATCCAGTGATCCCTTACTGAAATTCTGAAGAGTAATAGGTAAAAATATTTCTATACAAGTTGTTGGGAGTTTTCTGAATTATTTTGAAATTCTATTCTATGTTCTTCTTCTAGCTATGATATATAACTCACCCATTATTTTTGTAATTCGTGAAATATGAACACAATCCGTATTCACGAATCCCTCCTACTTTTTCACATATTATGAAATGCAGATACAGATTGGTTGCATTTCTATATCCCAGCAGAGCAAACCTGGAATATAAGTAGGTAGTTATCATGAGCAATTCATTGTTGTTTCGAATTTGAGTCCAAGACTTGTTTAGTTCTTCACTTACTTTGATAACTATAAGAATAATACCTAAAAATCAATATTTTCACTGATCACACTATTTGGCTTGTTCACCATAATTGACAACAAACAAAATGGCTGGAATGGAATCGAATTGACTTTTGACAGTTGACAAGGTTACTTTGCCGTGAAAGAACAAATATCATCTCCTTGTATCCTGTATGCATGTTAGCTACGTTATAAGGTGGTGAAACGAAAACGTTGCACAAATAACATAAAAACTCTGTCTGAGATATATCTGATAAACCTAAAATCAATATATCACAATATTATCTAATGATAATATCGATGTCAATATTGATGCGATGTATCATAAACGTTTTACTTCATAATATTGTGTTGGATACTTCAGAAGGACATTATCGCAATGTTATTCCAACAATATCACAAAACTTATAACTGAGAAATATTTTTGTTATGTATCATGTTCAGTGTGTTGGTTTCAAAATAAAACATCAGACGATTTTCAATTAAAGCTTCTAATATTTTTGATATGATTAGAACTAACGATATCGATCGGTAATTTGTTGTCTTTGTGATATTTCCTTTCTTATGTAGGGGTTTAACTTGCTGCATTTGAGGATATTTGGGAAAATTCCATGTCTGGAACACATATTTATGAGATCAACTAGAGGATGTACGATACTATCGATGATGACTTCCAATAAACTATTACTCATTCCAAACATATCCTGAGCATGAGAGGTATTACAATTTTTCACAACTTACTTTATTTCATGTTTCTGGTGTACCACTCTTACCCTTATTTTTCTCGTACTCTTTGCGTAATTTTCAGGATTACAATAATACCCCTATTCTTTCAGTTATCCTTGAAGATGAATATTGAAATTTGAATCATCCTAGTTGAGAATTGAAAAATCTCGATTTTGAATATCCTATATCTCTGTGATCATTCCTGCTAGACCCGAAGTGTGATGCATTGATGAAATCAGCTCTTCAGGAAGAATCTAAAAATGCAATAAAATAAGGGGGTGTTCCTTCTGAAATAACAAAGTGGCTAGTTGTTTCTGATAATATATCATTATCATTAATATATCATAACATTTCATTATTCTTTCGAATTCCTCTCGAAACAGAAACATAGATTTTTTGCATACGGATATAACGGCAGAGTAGACAGACAGTGCTGACTTGTGTTCGTGAATCTTCTCGTTGTATTTCGTAACAAAGGTTTAGGGCTGTGTTCAAGAACTTACTTTGAGTAAGCAAGTTTGCTCGGAAGCGTTCATAAACGTTCTCTAACAGTGTGGAGTATGCATTCACAATCGTTCAAAAACTTGCTCAGAGTGAACTCACTTTACTCTGCTTTCGTTTAGAGTGATGAGGTGGTGATGAGGTACTCTGACAATTATGACATGACCGGTTTGGTTTGTTCGTTTATTT